CTACATCTCTAGTTAGATCAGAAATAAGTTACTCTCTCCTTAAATCCTTGAAATTAGCTTATTCATACATTGTGAAATAGGTGAAAAAATATAAATTACACTGAGATTTCTAAAAATCTGTTCTGGGTTTTGAGTTTTGAATATTGGTGTTTTAAGAAGATCTTAGACTAGAGTTAGCAATACAGTGCATCTTTGTAAGCCTCTTTCGTGACTCAGAGCAGTCTCTATTGGCAAAGGACGTAAGATCATTGAACTTATCAGCTTCTGTTTGTTTTAACGGTGTCAGAAATTTGTGATGATTCACTGCTCCCTCCCCCAGACTACCTGAAACAGAAATATTTGCAATGTATTTTACATAGTGGGTCAAAACAAGAGAAATAATTTCAGTAAATCCAGGTTTTGGTGGAAGATTGTCTTGATAGAAACCGATCTTTTCATATTTAGCTGAAAGTAACAGAATAAAGGTTTGAAAAATATCTGCAACATGACATCACTTTTAATTTTAAGACTTCTTTTCTTTTTGAGACAGGGTCTCACTATGCAGTTCAGGCTGGCATTGAGCTCACTTTATAGCCCAGTCTGGTCTCAAACTTCCAGTGATCCTCTTGCCTCAGCCTCCTGAGTGCTGGGATTACAGGTGTGCACCACCATGCCTAGCTTTTTTTTTTTCTTTTGTATTTTAGGGAAGGGTCTACAGGGTGTTCAGGGTCTCACTACTAGATCAGACTCATAGTGATCCGCCTGTTTACAGCCTTCCAAGAGCTGGGATTGCAGGCATGCACCACCATTCCAGTCTAAATTGCCATCTCATTGTACCCTGGGGTGGGGCTGGCATGGCAGGCCTGGGGATGGAGCCCCTGGCCCCTGCGCCTGCTTGCAGGTGCTTTAACTCACTGAGCTATTTGGCCAGCCGTATGCCTAGCTATTTTTAAGATTTCAACCCAGCTGTTCTCCTCCTGGGTATTTTTCCAGTAGAATTGAAAACCTCATACCACAGTGATTTATGTGCATCCATATTTATAGCAGCACACTTTGTCATAGCTAAATCTTGGAATGCCCATCAACTGAGGAATGGATAAAGAAGATGTGGTATTTTTATACAGTGGAGTATTATTCAGCTATAAAAAATTTGAGGCTTTTATTGGTAAATGGATGCAGCTAGAGACATATTCTTAAGTGAAATAGATCAGACCCACGTGTGCAAGCAGCATACTGTTTCCCTAGCGTAATAATCTGAAAGAGTAAGTAAAATTTGAAGGCTACAGTAGATACTCTGAAAAAGGAATGAATCTGTCCAAAAGGAAGAAATTACTGAGATGAGAAAGACAGGGGAAGGGATGGGGGGAAGAGTCATAGTTATGTGTGCATGCAGGATGGCTTGGAGAGTAGTTCTGTGGATTGCTGCTGGTCTACGGGAAGGAGCAGTTAATGCTTAATATTTTTTGTCCTTTTTTTCCCCCACTTTTTCCCTTTTTCTCTCTTTTTAATATCTTACGTATTTGGTACAGGGTCTCACTACGCAGCTCGGACTCTTAGTGATCCTCCTGTTTTCAGCCTCCCCAGCTCTGGCATTACAGGGGTGCACTATTACGCCCGGACTTGGTGGCTGGCTCAGCACACCCGGGGCTGGGGCAGGTGTGGCATGTGGTGCCAGGGATTGAACCCTGGCGCCTGTGCTTGCCTAAGCAGGTGCTTAGCCACTGAACTATCTTGCTGGCTCTTCTTAATTTCTTATAACCTTTTTTTATTTCTTTTTCCAATTTTGCCTGTATATATCTGGTAATCTGAACAATTAAGTTGAAGACAGCACTATGCAGTTCAACAAATACTGTCAAATGCATATTACTTTGTTTAGTGAAATTCTATATCATTTCTAATTTTTATTACTATTTTGTGTTTTCTTAAAAAATTAAAAGTCTAAAAATTTAAAAAATATTTCAAGTAGGTAAAGACTTATTTGCATATTTGGAAGATGTTCGAAACAAATCATTTCTAAAGTTTTAATTGGGCAGTAGCGCTTATAAATCTCGATATTAATATTAATGCTAAAGGTAAAATTACTTGCAGTTTTTCAAGTGTTGACTTGATTGATATTTCATATTGTTATAAAGGTCCTTGATGATTCAGTTGAAGGTCTGTCCAATTTTTGGTGGTGGTGGCTGTACTAGAGCTTGAACGCAGGGGCTCACACCTGATTGGCAGGTACTCTACCTGTGGGCCATACCTTGTTCCCTTTTTCTTACTTCCTATTTCATTCTGAGGCGAAGGCTTGTCTACCAGAGCTGGGCTGTGTGATCATCCTGCCTCCGCCCCTGTAGGGCCCCAGGTTGCAGCCATGCGTCGTTGTACTCAACTAAGATTTTTCTTTTTTGTGAAATATCCTTTGTATTTTTAATCTTTGCTCATAATTTAAAAATTATTTTCCTTGATTGAGATAATAAACTAAATTCTATTTCTCCATCTATAAATGGCTTTCTTTCTTGAGCAATAATCTCAGCCATTTTGTAGCTGGCCGAAGTTGCAAGTTCAAATCTTTTAAAAATTATTAGCATATATTTTTGTTATACAATTATTTGATTGTGACTAATTTCTTCAATTACTTTTTGACTGGAATAACTTTTTATTAAAATGCACTTGCTGGAAATTTCCTTTAACTCACCTACTTTATTGTTTCGTTGCTTTTGTTTTATACAGCTTTTAAATTTTGTGCTGCTGCAGCAAGTTACAATTGGCATTCTTTATTAAATTTGTGACATTCCTTTGAGGTTTTCTCTTGATCTTTGCTTGATTCTGCCTCAGTAGAATGCCTTCAATTGAAAAAGGATTTTCCATTTTTTAATTTTTGAACCAGAAAAAATTTAATGATATTTTAATTTAAGTATTTTAATTTAGTTCTGTTCTGATTTACATAGGTATCACTATAGCTCATGTTGTCTGCATAACATACCCCAGGAAACATACTGTAATGCTTCATCATCACCCGTCCTGTCAGACAGTCATTGGCACAAACTGGATTGGTGATGAACTCCCATGAAATGCTGGGAATGACAGGTGTACCGTGTGCACTGTCACATGCCTTATACAGTGTCATAATGAAAGGAAAATGTGTCACTGCCCTGGTAAGCTGTGTTGGATAGAGGAAACACCTCTCACACTGAGGTTCACTATTCTTTTTTTTTTTTTTTTTTTGGTACCAAGAATTGAACTCAGGACCTTGTGCTTGTTGCCACACAGGTTTATGCCACTGAGCTATCTCCCTGGCCCCTTACAGGTTCACTTTTCAATTGTGTGAATTTGCTCTGACTTTATTTCTTAGGCAAACACTAGTATTTGGAGTTTTTATTTGAATGCTGAATATTGTTTTATCTGAACTATATGCATAAATTATGGAGACAAAATGAAAGCAGCAGTTGCAGTAGTCAGCAGTGGGCGCCATTCCCAGTGAGTGCTTAGGGCTTATCGAGGTGTCTGTACACCTCTACCAAAGCCCAGGTGTATAGACGGAGCGCGCGCTACTCTCGTCATTTATTCTGAGAGGAGCAAAGAGTTACACCTTTTTGCTAATTTAGTACTTTTATGTATTCATCATAAAATCAGTGAGGAATTTATTGTCCTTCTAGGGTACTTTGATCAGAGAAAGATGGCCTGGATGTAAAAGGTTGCCTTTGCCATTTGTGAGAGTTAGGAATTCACCCTGGGATCGTGGAGAACGCAGTAGACAAATCCTGGTGGACGGCGTTGGTAGTCCTTATTGAGGTGTGACAGGCTCGCCGGGGTAGTCCTTGCTGAGGTGTGTAGTAAATAAGGACACTGGTAGTTAAAAGTTTTCAGAAGCATTCACTCAAAATGTTCGCTGCTGAATCCGTCACAGGCTGTGCTTTTGGGCAGGGCTGTGACTCTTGAAACAGCATTGTCCCTCTCCCCTTCCTCATGTTGTCATAGACTGGCTTTATCTGTCTGTCTTTTAATTCTGTTAGAGATGACTCACTTTCTACTAACTGCTGTGCTTTCAAAGCTTCTAGTGCTCACATCGCAGTGTGATGAACATTTTTCTTTGGTAATTATAATAAGTGGTTTTAAACAAAGCTATAGATGTAAAAGGATTGCTTGGTGTCCACCTGTTTGTTTTTGTTTTTTGCTAAAATTGGCCTTATTGGGGGCCCAGCCCTAGCTCAGTTCTTTAAGTGGCTGCTTCCACAATGCTGGCAGCCTCAGTTTGCTGTAGTTCGATCCCCACAACACTCCAGCCATGCAAAAGTGCCCTGAAGGCATTCAAGGAGCAAAACACGCAAAAATAAATAAATAAAAATAAATAAATAAAATAAAATTGGCCTTATTTCAAGAAAATATCAAATGCCAAGGTACAGGTTAAAGTTTATTACATGTCACTCTTTATATTGTTCGGTCATTGGCTGCTAAACTGTCAATTTCTAAAAGCACGTTAAACATTTTTATTCAAAACACGTAAGCAAAAACGCGTAGCCACGGCTTCAGACCTCTATTCTCTAGGACCTGAGAATAGAGACATTCTTACAAACTCATCTGAATTCTGTTTTAATTAAATTATATTTAACATGTCCATCTTTTGGTTTTTCTCCTCCGGTACCCCAACAGGTCCCCCCTAAGTCCCACATGAATTTGGACTGAAATTCATCAGCTTAAAGTGTTAGGTGCGTGCCGCATGAGAAGATGAGCGCGTTCGTCCTTTTTCTGCACGTGTCACATACCCCTGGAGGGCGTGACACGCAGCAACTCACTTCATTTTCAAGGGAGGAATGAAGAGGTGTTAAGCAAAAATGTGAAAAGAAGCTCGTACCTACGGGGATTTTGAAAAGGCTCTTAGAAAGCATTCCACTCTGGATTCCAGATCCTCTCTAATGTTAGCACCGCTGGTCACTGCCTGTAGCCATGTGATTGTCTTGGCAGCAGGCCTTTTAGGGATTTTGTTTCTGTGGTTTCCTCAAGCTCTTTACATACAATGATTAATGTTTTCCTTGCAGTTATCGCTGTGACGATTTTGTGGTTAATGACACCAAGCTGGGGCTGGTGCAGAAAGTCAGAGAACACTTGCAGAACTTGGAAAGGTGAGTACTGGGTCTCGGGTCTGGGACGGGGGCGCAGTGGGGTTAAAAGGTAAAAACGTCTAGAGTCTGGGGTGGGTCTTGGTGGGGAGTTGCTCCAACTTGGTCACGTTTCAATGTGTCATAACTAAGCCTTCGGTGTAAATATCTGAAACTTTGCCTGTGTTTCATTTACTATCTTTTGTCATAAGCCATACTCAAAAGCTGACCCTGCTTTTAAGTTATTTCTAATTTATAAGCTATTTATGAGCAGATTTTTGGAGGTACAAAGAAAAGACAGGAAATCATATAAAAGTGTTTAGAGTTACCTCTTTTTTTTTTTCGGTGGAACCGGGGATTGAACCCAGCCCTTGTGCTTGCCAGGGAAGCGTTTATTCCACTGAGCCATCTCTCCAGACCCTCCCCCCCTTTTTTTTAGAGTTACCTCTTTTTGATATTAGAAAATCTCTGCAAATATATTGTGAGATCTACTTAGACTAAGATGTGCATTATTTTTTTCTAATTTTATTTATTTATTTATTTATTTGTGTGTGTGTGTGTGTGTGGCCAGCTCAGCCCACCAGGGGGCGGGGCTGGCTGGCATGTGGTGCTGGGGGATTGAACCGCGGTCCCTGTGCTTTGCTAAGCTTGTTGTAAGTAGGTGCTTTAGACCACTGAGCCATCTCACCAGCCCCGTGCATTATTTTTTAAATGAGGTTTAAGTATGTATTCTGTACTTTGCATCTGTATGAATAGGACAGGACTCTATTAATTTCTTCTTTTCCCTATTTTTGGTACTGGGGATCAAACTCAGGACTTTGCACTTGCCAGCAGGTGCTTATACCACCGAGCTCTCTCCCCAGCCTTCTTTCCCTTTAATGTTACAGGCAATACATGTGACTTGAAATTACAAAGAGCCATGAATGCTTTCAGATCATAAAGAAATTGAAGAATTTATGTGAATAGATTTTTTTTTTTTTTTTGGTATAGCCAGATAGCTTATTCAAGTAAAACTTGCTGGACTGAAATTGAAGCACTAAGTAGACACCCAAATAGCAGTGCCTTTGAAGCCTCAGTGGCTAGAGCCACAGGCTGGAATGACTGCTGACTCAAGTGAAATCCGTGAGTCACCCCAGATCCTCAGGTGCTGTCTGATTTCTTTTGGCAGTGGATGTATTGAAGGTACTGTGAAAACACGTCTGAATCAGGGCTGCCTGGCACACTTGAAAGATACTCCAGAATGTACACGGAGAGCAGATAGCCACCTTCTTTGAGTCAACACTGTATAATGTTTGTTAACCTAATTCTTGATTCATGTTCACTGCCTTCACTAGATTATAAAGCTGATAAGGAAAGAATCTAGATGAAAACACTTCGTGTCTAAGTATTTTTGATTTCTCGGCTTTTGACTCTTTTTTTGGAGTACTTTTCCCTCTCTGTTTAATTTGAACTGACCACCATGGGCCCATGTAGGGTTAGAGACCCATGTGCAGATGCACAGAACCCAACTATGTAATACTATGTGGAACTTCTCACAGTAAACTGCAGCAGGAGATTCCTGCAGTACGTTGTGTTCAGTCGTTCTTTGGTGTGGTGATGTCACTGTTTATTGTAGAAGTGGATAGCTGCTAGAATATTTCTTTACCACTTGCAATTTTCTTTGAGAAAAGAGCCATTTCAATTTGGATTAATCAGAATTAAGTCAAAAGGAAAACAGGGTTTTCCAGAGCAGACCTCATTGTAAATAGCTGCAAAATGTTTTGTTTGCATTTGGATACAAGGCTTCACATGTGACCACATCCACATCTCTGCTTGGCCTCATTAGAGAATCTACCTTGAAGTCCGTTTCCTGTGTTGAGGATATTCTCATTTACTTGTGCATTTTGCAAACACAGGCTGGAATGAAAAATCAGATGACATTTGTGCTCATCTGGGCAGCGGTGGCTGTGCAGCTCCCTGGAGTGACGGGCGCCTGCTCTGCTCTGCCCTCTCCTGGGCAACGCTGCCGGGGCCACAGGTGGCTTTCAGCACTTGAGAAGTGTGAATGCCACTGAGAAGCTGCAGTTCTGACTTCTTTTTTTAGTTTAAGTTTAAATGGCCGCAGGTGCTGAGGTGCTAGCATGTTATGTGCGTGGAGAGAATTGGGCCATTTTGAGAAGCCCTCAGGATAATGTAAGAACTTTTATAGGATAAAACTAAAAATAATTAGCTGTTGTCACTAAATAAATCCTACACGAGACATAATCACAAAGTACAGTTAATGCTTTCTTTCTTTCTTTCTTTCTTTTTTTTTTTTTTTT